TTCCCTGTCCTTAACTCTCTTCTCAGACGTGTCGATTGGCTTCAATTGTGTGATCAGGAAGTTTTTTTCAGTTTCTTTCATTTGAACCCCTGAATATTTTGCGATCATCTCCAAAAGGAAGAGGCCCCTCTGTGTCTCTAAATTTAGACCCATTTATATGATTTAATTGTCTACAATAGCATAAAAAATTCAGAAGTTCGGCTTTTGTGTATTTCGGATATCGCCTGTAAGTAATTCTGGTATTTTTTCACACAAAAGTAGTGGTCCATTCTACTCGCTGTCCTAAACTCTAACTTCATGCGAGATTTCGTGTCCTTTGGTTTCTATTTGTCACCTTTATAACGGCTGCAAAAAGGAACATTTTTAGATGTTGGTCCATTTCAACCCACAAAAATATTGCGGACATCTTTAAAACCAATAGGCCTAGCCCTTTTGAGTATAATCCTGCACTTATGAAAATTTTCGTGAAGATTGGACGATAATTGCAATCTGTATATAATAACCCCAACCTGTGTTGTAAGGTGAAAAAGTATTACAAAATATATACTTCAATATTAAAAGTCAAATTGAAAAAATCGCATGCGATATGAAAAAATAAAAAAATGTCACAATGAATGATTGATTTGTGATTTCGACGGGATTACAAATATTCGCGGTTTAATAAAAATTTTGACTTTTATTTAACACAAATGTTGTGGCCTAATTTACCCACTAAATATTACCCGATGACCACCAAAATTGGAAGGCTTCTACCCAGCCCTAAGCTCTAGCTCCATGCTAACTTTCGATTGGTCCATAATTGCGACCTGTAGAGCAACTGCAAAATCAGGATATTTTTCAGTTTTTGGTCCATCTCAACCCCTAAATATTATGCGATTATCTCCAAAAGAAATAGGGTTCTATTCTGATCATAACCCCACCTCCATTTTCAATTTCGTGAGGATCGGACTATAATTGCGACCTGTAGAGGGATTACAAATTAAAATGGACGGACGGACATACATAGCTAGATCGACTCAGCTCGGCGAGATAGGAAGATCCATATGTACTTTCATATGTGGGAAATCAATATTTCGAGGTGTTACATAATTTTTGGCCTAATCAAACTTATAATACCCCCAACACATAGTGTTGTAGGGTATAAAAATATTATATTGCGTATCATGGTATTATAGTCAAAATTTGGAAACTATATCCAACTCTTAATCGATTTTCAACGAACTTGATAGAGGCTCTCTAGTACCAAATAACATTGCTCTATAGTTCATGATATCTCTTCGATAAGGATTATGTTAGAAAATATTTATTGGAGCAATAGATACCGACTTTCACCAAATGGAAAAATTCGGTTGAATACAAAAAAATCTATGCAATTTGGGCTGATATTACACATAGATGTATGTCGAAGCTAATAAAAAAAATCCGAACCAATCTCGATAGAATTTGTCGGAGGTATTTTTAAGCTGTATTTGATGTCCGGTATCAAATATAATTTTTGTATAGATATGTTGGAGCTATATCCAAATCTGATCCGATCTCGACAAAATAATAGGCACTTATTTCTCAGCGTACATATTACGCATATGACTTAAAACACCAAATCGGATGAAACATACGAGGGCAGTTCGGAAACATCTTAGCCTAGCACAAAAAGCGCGGTATAAACAGAAAAAAGTTATGTGTTTTGGAAACTTCCATCTTCCTTCATGCAGGGTGAGTTGCAAAACTACAACCATCTTCAGACTGCTGTGATTTCTAAGCCACTTGTCTGACAGCTGTTAAAATTATTCCAGTGACAGTTTATTATATTGTTTACAAGCGTTTTAGTACGCATGTTGGTGAGAATTTTTCAGAAAAAAAGTTATTCGTGATGGAATTCAAGCGTGATAGTGTAATTTCTTTATATTTGGCTGGAGAACCACAAGTGGTTATCGTAAGAGCACTCCAGCATATAAATGAGAATAAATCTTTTGTGTTTCGTACCATCGCTCGTTACCGTGATACTGGTAGCGTAGCCCGTTGTCAAGAAAGTGGACGGAAAAAAAACAGCAACATCAGAAAGAATGGTTCGAAAAGTAAAGAAGCGACTTTATCGAAACCCGCGTCGAAGTGGACGAAAAATGGCTCGTGAGCTGAACATATTGCAATATTTCATTCGGCAAATATTGAAAAATGAGCTCGGGCTAAAGCCATTGAAATTCCAAAATGTTTAAGAACTTACACCACAACAGAAATAAAATAGACTGAAAGGAGCTAAAGAGTTGCTTCGCTTGGCCGAAAGTGGTGAACCTCCGAATTTGGTTTCCTTCGATGAGAAAACATTCGTTATCCAGCAGTTTGTAAACAAACAAAATTATCGTGTTTACTTGCCAAAGTGGTCAGCTTCGGTTGCCCACCAGAACTCAAGCGCCGGCCATGGTGATGGTGTGGGCCGCCATAACATCCGATTGTCGCTCTCCGCTTGTATTAATCGGCCGTGGCATCAGAATAAATGCCGAATATTATCGTGAAAACATTCTGGAGGGTGTATTAAAGCCTTGGGCTAGCAAACATTTCGGCCGCAGACCTTGAACATTCCAACAGGACTCAGCACCATCGCACTCAGCAAGCGCCACCCAAGAATGGTTACAAAATGAGGTCCTACGCTTTACAGCGCAAAATGGCCACCAAAATCTCGGGGTTACCAATCCGTTGGACTATTGTGTCTGGAGTAATTTGGAAAGCAAGGTTGGCACTAAAAAAATACCTAAGTGTCGATCACCTCAAGCAAGCTCTTCCCAGGGAATGGACCAAAATACCTCAGAGCAAAATTCGGGCAGCGTGAGACGGTTTCATTGTCCGTTTGAAGGTCATAATTCGTGCCAAAGTTGACCAATTCGAACAAATCTAAACTTTTTCTAAAATTTGACGCTATTTCCGACATTTATGCTTTCATTCAATAAAATTTAAAAAAAAATGAAGATTATGGTGTTTGACTTCGTGGCAGTTTTTTTAACTAACCCTGTATACCATATTCACAACAGATTTGTGAAAAACAAGTGGAAAACAAGATTTGGGTGCTTATTACGCATGCTTTAAGCGATTTGTTTTTTAAAATTTTAAACCCTATGTGAGAAGGTACCAGAAGAAATGGTTCGATCTCTACCATTTTTATAACAGGTCTTGTGTTGATAGCAATACTGAGATGTACCACTTTTAAATGGAATCGGATTTTAATTTCTCGATTTATGAGCTATATGGATATTCAAAATTTTGACCCTTTGTGTGGGAGGTACTTAGAAGAAATGGACCGATATATTCCATCTTTACAGCAGATCTTGTGTTAGTAGAATTAATGGGATTTCTGAAATATGAAGAGAACCGGATGCTTATTTCGGATTTTGTGACCGTTTTGTTTATTCAAAACGTTGACCCTTTGCGGGGGAGGTACCAGTAACAGAAGCATTGCTTCATGAATATTCAAAATTTTGACTCTTTGTGTGGAGGTACCAGAAGGAGTGGACCGATATATTCCATCTTCACACCATACCTTGAGTTAATAAAAATATTGTGATGTGTGTAATTTGAAGACAATCGCATTTTTTAAGTGTTTTAATTATTTTGAATCGTTGTGGTGGAGGAACTTGATGGTCCTGTCCTTTTTCGCACCTGATCTAGAACTGATGCAAATATTAGGAGTTGCAACGTTGTGGAAAATCAGATCATCCTTTCTCTGTGCAATAAAATATATTTCTTTTGCGAAAATTTCGACCCCATCTCCGGACTCAATCTAAGTTTGATGATATTATTTCGGATTATACTCGGATGAAACATATATATGGGAACTATAGCTATATCTGAACCAATTTTCCAAATGTGATCTACTTGCTTTTAGACTGAATTCGGTTGGATGTGCCAAAATGCAGATCTTTTGGGTTGATATTGGCAATTTGTTGGATAATTAACCTCACATCGGTTAAAGATAAATTTGGGAGCTATATCTAAATTTTAACCGATTCTCACTAATTTCAATTGGGTTTGTCCTTGGGCCAAATAATTATTATTTGGAAAATTTCATATCAATCGGATAATAAATGCGACCTTCATTTTGTTCACAAAAATACGTGGACAGACGGACGGACTGACATGCATTAATGGATTTAGAAAGTGATTCTATGAAGATCCTAAAAAGTAACTATGGGTCTGTCTCGCTTCCTTCTCCGTGTTACAAACAAATGCACAAAGACATAATACCCTTACCGCATTTGGTGCAGGGTATAAAAATGCCGATGGAAACTAATTTGAAAATCTACATTTAACTTGATTTAATTAAAAACTTAGAATTGACTTAATACGATATGTTAGAGGATTATATTTTAGATTTAGATTGGAATTTATTTGATATCGAATGTGAGAATTTGGCCCTAGTCAACATCTTCAAGGGGCGATCAACAGCTGAGACTATAGCTAAGGAAATCTGATCAACAATTTGAATGATTACGATTATCTGCAATATATGGCCATAAAAAATAATTAGAAGGAGATAATACTAAGTTCTGTAGGTTCTGTTATCATGCTGCTTAACAAACGGCCTTGGCTTATGAAAGTGCTCAATCCGAAGCGGTAGCCACAATATGTCCTTCAACTACCAATTGCACGCTGATTAATAATTCTCGATTCATAACATCGCATTTGTCCTCATACCTCAAATTTCTATTTATTCATCTTTTTAGGAATTTATAATTCCTTCGAAACTTATTTTGTTCAAAATGAATACAAAGGATCATGAGGCCTCAGAGTGAAGTAATTACCTTTTTTTGTTTCAAACATTTTTAATGATACCTTTCACCCTCCTGTTATGGACTTTGATAAAAATGGAATAAAAACCATATTTAACCGTCGTTTAGAAAATACTCTTCTCGAAAAAAAAATATTTTTTCTAATTTTCTGGCTTTGATTTTTTCGTAGTTGAAAAAAAAACTCAAAAATTCCCAACATTCCTTGCTGACAGGCAAGAAAAAAATAATAGAAATATTTCCAAAATCCTATTCAAAAAATTGTTGCATTTTAAATATTTTGGAGGCATTTTCACATACAAATAATAAACCGCATAGCAAAACGGTAAGGCCTGCTCCCGGAAAACAGCTGAAACCATGGTAAACGGCTGGCCGGATTGTTGCTCCCCTCGAGATATTTGCGTGTGAAACTAATACGTCAAACTAGACATTGGAATAATCTATTGTCTGTTCGAACGGCGAACATGTTAATGTCTAAACATTGAAAAGAACCAAATGAACGAACGAATGAAAGAAAGAACAAAAAACAACAACAGCAACAACAAACTACAAAGAATGAAGAAAAAGGCAGCCGACATGGACAGACGGCTGCAATGCTGTGGAATATGGTCAAAGCACCGCCTAGATATGAGAAAGACACTAAAGCCCGACGAAGTGAAGTGGAGTGCAACAATAACAGAAACAACAACATCGGCAGCAGCAGCAGCAGCAGCATGAATGCGGCCGCCAAGTGGCGAACCATTCCCGGTCACAGACTATTAGACTGGACTGCCGAACCATATGCATACCATGAAATCGACAGTGATTATATGGATCTCTTTCCAAGTTGCTATGCCCCAGTGGACCAAAAGGAGATTAGGGGTGGGGGCATAGACGACCAAATGAACGAACATTGATTTATTACAAATAATTTATCACTCATTAGGGTATGCATTTTAGACAAAAACAAAACCAAAAAAAAAAAAATATAATGCCCAAGAACACAAACAACAACAAAACCAACTATTTAGAAAATCCATTCAAACCCAAGAGATTACAAGATTTCTTTAAGTTTTGATTTTATTTCATTCGTTTTTTTTTTTCTTTCTAGATTTTCAGTTGCAACAACCCAACGGCAGCAGCACTCGCCGCGGTATGGCAACCAAATCGAAAAAGGCGTTGAAAGGCTTTAACTAAAATATTTGTGAATGCAAGCGTTCTACACAGCAGTCAGAGGTGCAATATTCTCGTCCCGATCTGTGTAGTCGAACAAATAGCAACTCAAGTTTCTTTCAGATTTCGATTTTGCTTGTCGTCCAGGTATGTTAATTTATGTCATGAAACCTGTTACATTGACATTTATATCATGACCGGGGTAGAGTTTGATTCAAATCCCAAAGGGGATGCTAACATCAGGATGATGGATATTCTGTAGCTGGCAATGATGTGGAGAGGGGATTTAATGATGTGTAGGAAACAGTAGGGAATCAAGATGAAGGAAAATTTCATTTGAGTGAATTAGAACGAATTAACATTATAATTGGAATATTTTATTGACCCTTGGTTATCTTCTTAATTATAAGTAATTAACTAATCGGTCCCACCGCTATGGAAAGTGCGATATATTACCAATATTGCTATAATAATTCTGAATCATATGAAGTTCTCTGCAATAATTTGGAGGAATTTTCTTCAAAAATAGTCCCAGAAATATATTTTTAAGAAATCTATGATTATAGCTTTCATAGTTCTTGGGAAAAATTCTAGGAAAAAGTAACAGTTATATCTGCCAATTCCAATCGGTTAAATTCTTAAAAATTCACGATAATATCTGTGATGGTCCTCGGGAAGGCTTTAGTGATATATATCTATTTTTTTAAAAAATCACTACAAGGCAGATAATAGGAAAATGTTTCGACCTTGAAAAATATATATTAAAAACAAGTAAGCAAAGGCTACAGTCGAGCGGGGCCGACCGTTGAATACCCTACAACACTACAATAAACGATACAGTTTATATAGGCGAGATACTCGAAAGAATTCCACAAGATATTGTAACAAATATTAAAAGAAAACCACCAGGTTTCGCTCTCTAATTTTCGAATAATAGCAACTTAAACTAATTTGCTCATTTCCAATTTATTGGTAGATGTTGCACGTAAATGGTCTTCCTAGATCTGGAACCAATATTTCCCAAAGACCTATCATATCTAAGAAGTGGCAAAAGATTAACATTTATTATTGGTTTTTGACTGAAACGCATCTTTATGAGATACAGACATTGGACTATATTCTTCAACGAAATCAGCGTTAACGAATTTGTGAATTCTCCAAGAAGTCACTGTAATGGACATTTTCGTATTTTTTCTACAAAAGTTGGCAAACTATTTCACACATTGAATATTTTTGGATGGCCATTCAAAACTGCTTGGCTTTTGCAATGTCCGGTAACCCCCATTCAAATGTGCCTGAGGATCGGGCGATGATTACGACCTGCTGACAATTTTGTAGTTTTTTGGTCCATTTCAACCCCTAAATATATGGCGATCATCTCCAAAAAGAGTAGGCTTCTATTCTGACCCTCATCTTATCCCCATGCAAAATTTCGTAAGGATCGGGCCATATATGCGATCTGTATATGATATCCTGATATCCTAACTACTTAGTTTTGTTAGCTGTAGAAATATTACCAAATGTTTAATTCAAAATGAAAATATGCCAAAAATATGACAAAATTGAAAAAATATGAGAACATTTTACAAAATTAATATTTTCATCTTTAGAGAGATATTTTTATGCGATTTTTTAGACGTTTTTTCTTTCCTGCCAAGAGGCCATTCTGAATTAATGAGAACTGCCGAAATCAGTTCAGCCGTTCTCGACATATAAGAGATCTTTCAAGCATATCTTCTTTCATAGACATATATGTCGCATATATTTGCTATATATTCGATTTTTTGGATCTTAACATCAATGTAAAGATCAGAAGTAACCTTGTCATGGGTTTGTGATTTCGCCGGGATTTAAAATATTCGCGGTTTAATGAAAAATGTTGAATTTTTTCAACAAAAAAGATATGGTCTATTTTACCCGCTAAATATTATCCGATGACCACACAAATTGGTAGGCTTCTTCCCATGCGAAATTCCGCGTCGATTGGTCTATAATTGCAACCAGTATAGCTACAGCAAAATCCGACATTTTTTCAGTATTTGGTCCATTTCAACCCCTAAACATTTGGCGATCATCTTCAGAAGAAATAGGGTTCTATTCTGACATTAACCCCACCATTTTAAATTTCGTGAAGATCGGGCCATAATTGCGACCTGTAGAGTGATTACAAATTAACATGGACAGACGGACAGACGGACGGACGGACATACATAGCTAGATCGACTCAGCTCGGCGAGCTAGGAAGATTCATATATACTTTCCTATATGGGAAACCAATATTTCGAGGTGTTACATAAATTCTGGCCCAATCAAACTTATAATACCCCCAACACATAGTGTTGTAGGGTATAATTAAGATTAAAGTTGTGACGGTCCCTGAAAAATGTTCTAAATAAAACCCCGATTGTAGTTTTGATGACCCTTCGATAAAATATTCCTTAAATTCACCAATACTATTGGATTGTATGCTTTTTATTATTTACAAAGTTCAAAAGGCAAATGAATATTTCCAAAACTCTATTTTTTATCATGTAGGCAAAACTTTATCAAAAATATTCTCTTCATCCATCATTTTGTCCCTGAAAGAACATATGAAAAAAAATATGAAAGTATTTCAAAAATTAACGATTTATGTATCCGGAAGTTGATTGACCAAAAAATCATTAAAACTATTTATAACAAAAATCCAAGATTTTTGAACAGAAAGGTTACTGAATAATTCATAGTCCTTCAAAAGACCTTTTATAAAAAATCCACGATTTCCTGCAAGTGTCCTTGAAACAGTACTCTTAAAAATTCAAGTTTCAAGATCCACGATAAGAATCATGTCTTAAAATCTTTCTTAAACAAATCCTTGATTTTCTGTTTTGGTCCATGTTAATCCAAAAATAATTTGCGATCATCACCAAAAACATTAGACTTATATTATGACCCTAATTCTATGCAAAATTTCGTGAATTCGCGTTATTACAAATTAATATGAACGGACGGACACATATGACATGATCGACTAAGCTCGGCGAGATAGGAAGATTCATAAGTTACAGCGTGGATGTAGGACCAATATTTCGAAAAAAACTGCGCTATAACCACACGCTAGTTCGACTCTAAATGTCCTGAAACGGATTTCTTCCAAAAAGTAAGCTCAACCTTGAAAAATTTTTTTTTAAACTAGTTAACAGCTATCAGTCGGTTTTGGCGGCATATGGATACCCTTAGCCAATTTACGATAATTTAATTATATTATAATTTAATTATATTATAATTTAATTATATTATAATTTAATTATATTATAATTTAATTATATTATAATTTAATTATATTATATAAAAAATTCGGTGAATAATGTAGCTAAAATCACCAACGTACCGAATATAGGGAGGTACCGTTATATTTGGGCTATACGAAGACGTGGACCTGAATTGACAATTTTCTGTCACAGGATGTAGTACCCATTACGATTTTCAAATTCCAACTTTGAAACAATTCCAATGAATAATGTCACTAAAATTATCAAAGTACCGAATATCGGGAGGTACCGTTATATGGGGGACTATATGAAGACGTGGACCTGCACAGATAATTTTCTGTCATAGGCTGTAGTATCCATTACGAACTTCATACACTGAATTTGAAACAATTCCGGTGAATAATGTCACTAAAATCATCAAAGTACCGACTATCGGGTGGTACCGTTATATAGGGGCTATACCAAAACGTGGACCTGCATGACTCAATTTCAATACCAAAAGTCCAGCAAACATAATATATATTTGAGTAAAATTTTATAACCTACTTAATTTCGTTCGGAAGCTTCGTTCGTTAAATCGACTTAGAATTTTATGCTGATTATGAAGATACATATACTTTATGGGGTCTTCGACGAATATTTAGAGATGTTACAAGCGGGATGACAAATTTAATATACCCTCTTTTCCAAGGTGGGGTATAAAAATAGTCCACATTTACAGGACTGCTGGTCGTGGAAAAATAGTGTTTACAACCTACACCACATTGTGGTAAGGGTATTATGTTATTGTGCATTTGTTATCAGTCCAAATGGTGTGAATTTCGGCACTTCCGACCGAATTTAGTATAGAAATAAGTACTTTAAATTTGGTGCAAATCGGCTCAGATATAGTTACAGCTTTCATATATATGATTCATCCGATTTGGTGTTTAAGTCCCTCATTTTCGTAAAATGCACCAAGATATTTGGTAACAGATATCAGATAATGCCCACAAATAGTGTTTCAACTGTTGTCACGATCGGTTCAGATTCGGATATGGCTCCCATATATATCTTTATCCGAATGGAGTGAGTTTTCGCAATTCACACATGGTGCTAAGGTTATTATGTCATTGTTCATTTGTTATCAGTCCAAATGGTGTGAATTTCGGCACTTCCGACCGAATTTAGTATAGACATAAGTACTTTAAATTTGGTGCAAATCGGCTCAGATACAGCTCTCATATATATGTTTCATCCGATTTGGTGTTTAAATCTCGTAACTTTCGGAATATGCACTCTACCAAAATGATACTTTGCACCAAATATCTCATAGAGCTCAGAAATTTCAATATAAACCTTTCTTTTACGAGAGCTCTACTAAATAAGCATAGTGGTGTAGGGTATCATATAGTCGGTCCCGCCCGCTTTCCATGTTTTTTTTTTTTTTTTTTTTTTTTAAATGAAGGGGTATGTATGCCTAGGGTGGTCCTTGAAAAATATTCTCAAAAATCAACAGTTATGACTTTGGATGGAGCTTTAAAAACATGTTTACAAAATCTCATTAGTTGGCTTGGATCGTCTGTTAATTTATGTTTATGGCTTGGATGGCCCTTGACAAATAATTCTTAAAAAGCCAGGTTTATAGCTTGGATTGTTGACATGCCATGTAACGTTAAATTTAAAAATTCACGATAATGACTCTTGTTTACTTTATTTCTTTTTTTCAGTCCATAATTATGTCTTTGATAATCCTTTCTATTTTAATTCTTAAAATTACAAAAACCCGCAATTATAGTTGAGTTGGTACTCGAAAAATATATTTACAAATCCACGTATAAGGATTTTAAAATTTTATGATTATTCCCCTATATGCCTTAGGTTATGTATAAAAACAAGTTAAAATATAAGTCGACA